AGTGTCAACATTGTTCAATATTGTATCAACAAGAAGCCTTTGCCCAGCCAAGCAATCTAATGCATTTAAAATAGCTGGGGTGTTGGAGTCCAGATAGGGCTGTGAATTAGGGTTTGGGCTGGGAACTGCAAGACTGGCAGTTCAAACCCATCAGACAGATGAGGCTGTCTGCTCTGGTACAGATTTACAGTCTCAGAAACCCTACACTGGGTTGCTATGAACCAGAATTGACGTGATGGCCGTGGGTCTGGAGCTGCACAGAGTTGAATCCAAATCCTGATTCTGCTGCTAGATGTACATATCACCTCTTTTCAATATGCGTCACGTCACTCACTGGCAGTTTTCTGATCTGTAAAATGAGCATAATAATTCCTACTTCCCAAGGTTCCTTTGACAGGCAATTTGTTGTTAAGTGCCATCGAATCAGAATTGGTGCTACTAGCTGCGTTTCTGAAGAGGGGCTGGTGAGCTTGAATCACTGACCTTGCTGTTCAGACTGACTTTGCAGTCCAGTGCATCAGCCCACAGTGCCACAAATAAATACAGTGACTATGCAAAGCACACATGTTGTCCTTGTTTTTAAGTCCATTGGCAGCTCTTGCATTGGTTTGGAAGACAAGAAACACATGCAAGAATAGCTTTATATGAAGTGTTAAAACCTTCTTTTCTGTGAAATGAAATTACAGTCAGCAGTTCTGTGCTCTGGGGGCACATTCTAATGCAGCTAGGGGCACTATAAAATATTCTTATGTCAACTCACCCCAGAAATTGATTCAATTGGTCTACCTTACGGAGCTCTGGTAGCGTAGTGGTTAAGAATTGGGCTGCGAACCTTAAGGTCAGCAGTTCGAGACTACGAGCCACTCCGCAGGAGAAAGATGAGGCTTTCTGCTCCCATAAAGATTTACAGCCTCGGAAATCCTGTACAGGGTCGCTATGGGTCGGAACTGACTCGACGGCACTTAACAACAACAACAACCTTGGTGGTGGTTGTTGCTGTTCAGTGCCATTGAGTCGATTTGGACCCATACCGACCCGTATAGGGTTTCCAAGGAGTAGCTGGTGAGCTTGAACCACCGACCTTGCAATTCAAACGACTTTGCAGTCTGAAGCATTATAGTGGGATGTTTAAGTGCTCCCCTGTTATTTCTAGTGTACCCTTAACTAAATCATTGCTTTCTAAACTTTGATATCAATTACTTGGGGAATTTATTAAAATTCAGGTGGGGCCTGAGATTCTTCATGTCTAACAGGTTTCTGAAGACCTGGTAATACACACAGTTCAGGGTTAATGATTAGCTGCTAACTGAGAGATTGGGTGCATCTAAGGAGTCCTGGTGTGGTGCTGTGGACTAATGCATCAGACTGCAAATTTGTCTGAACCACAAGGTCAGTGGTTCAAGCTCACCAGCCGCTCCTTGGAAACCCTATATAGGGTTGCTATGGGTCGGGATCGACTCAACAGCACTTAACAACAACAATAACAATTTAGCCAGAGGTATCCTTGAAAGAGGGCCTAGATATCTACTTCCAAAAAATCAGCCACTGGAATAGGTTCAAGCTTACCAGCTGCTCCTCGGAAACCCTATACAGGATCACTATTGGTCGGAATCAACTAGATGGCACTTAACAACAACAAACCAAACTGTTGTCACGACTCAGAAATCCTCAATACAGGCCCCTTTTTATTTCTTCTTTGTATTGTGAATTGGGTAACGGTTTACAGAGCAGATCAGTTTCCCATTCAATAATTCATACACATTTTATTTTATCTCATTGATTACAATCCCCACTTCCTCTCTGTGTTTCATGTTTCCATTCTTCCTTCTTTCCTAATCCTTCTGAACTTTGTCCTTGTGTAAATACCTGGGCCATAGTGTCAGACCCAGACCCCAAGGCTGTTAAGCACTATGTGATTCTGCCTCCAATGCTGAGCACTGTATTCCTGGTATGGATGGAAGGTTCTTAAATACTGAAGCCTAGACTGAGTTGACCTAAGAAACAATCATTGGCAATATTCTGTTTTGGTCCAGAGGGTTGTGTTTTATGGCTGTTATAAATGTCACAAGTCAGAAGTGGCTCAACAGCAACAAAACAGCCACAACCAGGGGAGCACTTGAATGAAAATGCAAATTCCTTGCACCTGAATTTCTGATTTAGGAAGCCTGGGAGGTTTGGACACTGGGCTAGAGGATCTCTAGGCAGCTTCCACGCTGTTGGCAAATCCAAGATTCTTGGATTGGACCATCATTCTGCGTACCCTAAAATGAATGTGGTACCAGGGAACAGCGAAATCTTATGTTATCACCTCTCACGGTTATTCTTGTCACTTCAGGTTTGGTGTCTAAATCACAGTCACTCATGGAGACAATTCTGACCACTCCACCCCCAGCCCCATCTGCTGACAATCACCAGGCTGCCTGGAGTCCTCTGAGCCTCCCACACCCTGCCTGCTTTCCTTCTGTGTAAGCCCAGAGCCCACAGCCTTCTTACAGACTTGAATCAACCCCACTTATGAAGACGAAGGGAACTATGTAAGACCTAGAATTGACTGCTGCTCTCTGCTCAAGTGGAGGACACCCTCCTAGTCCATATTCTCTCAAGTTGAATGCACCAGAGGTGGTGGTTGGTAAGTACCATCAAATTTCTTCCAACTATAGTGACCCTGTATAGGGTTTTCATGGAGCATCTGGTGGATTTGAACTGCTGACCTTTTGGTTAGCAGTCCAGTGCTTATCCTACAGTGCAACACACAATGCTAATGAAGGAATTGAGACCCTTTCGCTTTTGGCCTCCATCCATTGATGGTAGTGTGCTATGGAGTCGGTTCCAACTCATAGCAACCTTGCATAGGGTTTCTGAGGCTTTACGGGAGCAGAAAGCCTTATCTTTCTTCCACTGAGTGATTGTAGAATTGAACTGTTGACCTTGTAGTTAGCAACCCAACTCATAACCCACTATGGTACCAGAGATCCTTCTATATTCATTGTTGTTAATGTGTTAAGTACTATTGAATAGGTTCTGACTCATAGCAACCCTGTATAGGGCTTCTGAGGAGCCATGGTGGGTTTGAACTGCCAATCTTGCAGTTCAAACCAAGCTTGCTGTCTACTGCTTACCCTATAGCACCCAACCAGGACTCTTCTATATCCATTGTTGTTGTTGTTAAGTGCCATTGAGTCAGTTCCAACTCATAGCAACCCTGTATAGGGTTTCCTAGGAGTGGCTGTTGAGTTTGAACTGCCAACTTTGCAGTTCAAACCAACCTGTGGTCTAGTGCTTATCCTACAGCACCACACCATCCATTGTTGTTGTTAAGTGTTGTCGAGTTGATTCCGAGAAGTTGATTCTGAGAAGCAGCTGATGACTTTGAAGGAGTCCCTGAATGGTGCAAATGGTTAAAACACTCATCTGCTAACAAAGAGGTTGGAAAGTTTGAGTCTACCCAGAGGCACCTTGGAAGAAAAGCCTGGTGATCTACTTCTAAAACATCAGACACTGACATTGCTGTGGAACATAGTTCTATCCTAACACATACGAGGCCACAGTGATACAGAATCAACTCCATAGGCAACTGATTTCTGGACATATTTGCAGATCCAGAGGAGACTGGGGCTCTGGCCTGCCTCTCACCCTCCTTTGACTTTAATAACATTCTTATGTCTCTTCTAGTGGATGAGAAGAATTACCTATTGTACCACATTTGTTGGTTTTAGCTCTGCTGAGGAATGGGCTGGCCCCAGCCCAAGCAAACCTCTGTGTAATTCTCTAGCCCCTTTGAGTTTAAAACCTGATCGTGCGTTGGAAAATGGAAGCAGAGAAGAAAGAAAGTCCTCAGGTTGTCACTAGAAATGGGCTTCAGAATAAAGTAAAGCCAGTTCAGAGGTGACCACTCAGGAATGCCAAGGCAAGGTGTCCTCAACATCCTGTGTCTCCACCACCATCTAACAGTGAGAGACCCAAGAGAGGACTATCCTCTTCTCAGCTCTGGTTGTGACTTCCAAGAATCCCCCTACTCTTTTTATTTTAAAATAGGGACATTTAGGTGGTTCTTCAGAGTACCATCCACAAGCTTCTTTGACTGGACACTCTAAACATTCCATGGGCTTTTACATGAGACACTATGTAAAAAAAATAAATAAATAAAAAATACTCCCTGTCAGGAATTCCCACAAAACACTTCAACTTCTTATCTTGCTTTAACGTGGTGGCAAAGCATTCTAAATGTACCCTTGGACATAGCAGGAAGCAAACTGGAGGCTATTTGACCATTTTGAAAGATGGTATAAAGTGCACATATCTGCCACTCTTCACCACACACCTTCCCCTCCCTAATCCCCATGGGTTCTGTAAACTTTCAAGTATAGCCACTGAAGTCATCTATAGTGGCCAAGGAGGCATTGATGGTAGGAGCTCCTAATCGGTGAATTTCAGGGGGCTAAGTCAGGGTGTCCTTGATTTAATCGAGTACAATGACTGTAAACTCAACCTTTTCCCAGGGAACAAGCATCCCTGGGAATCTCTGAGGCAAGGATTTCAGCATGTTTCAGCATGAGGAGGTGGTGGGATCCTTTTCTAACACAGCACTGGAGGAGGGGGACATTTGTACTCAAAAGTTGCATCTGTTGTTCTGTTTTGTTTTAAGGCATAGTCAAGAGGTTTGGATTTATTACTTCTATTATATGGCTGGTGTGGCACTCTAGGAGAAAGCACTGGATCACAAGATGGTGGTTCAAACTCACCAGCCACTCCTCAGGAATCCTATATGGGTTTGCTATGAGTCACAATGGACTTGACGGTGCTTAACAACAACAAACAACAACAACAATTATATGCCTCCCTCAATTCCAGCAACAGTTTAGTAGAAACCATTAATTTAGAAATCCTATTTGTTCAGCTTCTGGAGCAGAGCTAAAACTGCCAAGTTCTACACTGTACCACTGTTAATATGAACCAAACATGCAAATAAGAGGCATTTCCTCTCTCTCCCATTTGGTTACCTTGAGCCCCTTGACTGTAGAAGAATCTCTGAGCCGACTCAACATCCAAGAGTCTATGAGCAGACTCGACATCCAGAAAATAATCCATTTTGGGATAATCCATCCTTGATGTTCTGAACACAGAGTTTCGTGAGAAAAAGTTCACTTCACACCTATGAGAAAGGATTTTAGATTTTAACACAAATTCTTAAAAGTCCCAAATATAATACAATATAAAATTTCAGAATAAGACTATTCCATTTGTTGACCAATATTTCAAACTGTAAAGCCACCCCTTAACATTAGAAAATGCAGCATTTAACCAACATTCATTATAAGTAATACATTCTCCCCAGGGGGAAAGCAGAACAAAACAGGTAGTCCAAGCTAAAGAGAGATCGAGTACCAGCCTTTCCTTGCAGTCTATTGACTAGAAAATATGCTGTGAAATTCACCTGCTAACACTTTTCAGAAGATCTGTCAGTTAAAGGGCATCGTTAAGTGCTAGCCGTTCTGAGTATTGATCTTCAACTGATCCCTGGAGTTCTGGATTCCTCTCGACCTGGAAGAATCTCCTGGGAATCAGAAGCTCCTCTCAGATAAGCCTGCATTTATGATAGATGCTGACATGTTTGCTATAGCAATGCCTTGAATTCCTTCTTGCCCAGTAATTCCTTCCAGTTCATTTTGCAGAGTGTTACCGGAGAGCACTCTGCCTGCACCTGACTAACTGAAGGCTGCTTTTGAGAAAAGACGATGGTTTGGGGGGCAGCGGCAATTATTCCTACACTGCAACTGATTATATTATATTAGCCTGTGCCAGCCTGTCAGAAAGCAAATACGTTTCATTACAAAACATTCAGCCCATTGAGTCTTTGGTTTTAAGCATCTGTAGTGTTTCCCTGTTACTTGCCCAAATAAAGTATCTCTATTTCTACAGACTGCTATAGGAAAGAGTTATAACACAAAGTCATTCACATCAAGATCAGAAGACCTTATCTTCCTTTTTTTTTCTAACCATACACACTTTAATCTAAGCATCCAAGTCTAGTAAGAGAAAACTTTTTAAATGCCCAAAGGTAATCCAACAGCAAAAACAAAACAAAAACCCATACTTACTGCAAAATAACAACAGAAATATCAAGGACTAGCAGTTGTTAGTAAAAGCAAAATCTGTATCAGCCAGAAGGTCTTTGATCTCACTAAATATTCTAGGTGAAAATAAATTATTTTGATTCTTTGATTAGAGCCGCAATAAATAATGTATTCTGTCCACTGGACTTCCTTTATTAGATAAAATGGCCAGAGCATGTTACCTTAGCAACTGAAGGTGACGCCAACCTCAGCCTCTCTGTACGCCCCTCTGTGAAGGAAGAAAATCACCATTTTCCAGTGTAAAACTTTGCAAGAAAACCCCTAACATCTGCATGTAACCACCATGCAGATCTATTCTTTGATCTCTTATGCAGAGATGTGTCATAGTCTTTTAAAAAAAAAAAGATTCATGGTTTAATAATTTAATTTTATAGTCCCAGTTTGAATTGCAATTACAACAGAATAGAATATTCAATGGTTAACCATTTGTTATGGTGGAAAGTTGTCTAGAAATTGTTGGGAGGGGGTCTCCGTTCTGACCCTAACACTGATTAGAGGTGGGAGAGACAGAAAGAGTGTGGGGAAGGTCCATTCTAGTGAGCATATGGCAGACCTTCCCCTGTTATAATTAACACACAGATCAGCCCCAGCATCAAGGCTGAAAATAACTCTCTTTCCTTCTGTGAATCAGTCACTGGAAGAAGCTGTAAAAGCTGTCGGAAATTTCCCAGGGATTTGAAAGATGCACTCTAGCCTCAATGTTTTGGGAGACTTCCCCTTGCAAAGAAAAGGTAGCCAGAAAGATGGACAAAAAGAAGAGTCTTGAAGTTAGCAAATACTCACCAGCACTTGTTGACCCCTTTCAACAGGATACCGCGGAACCTTGAATGAAGCTGTGCAACACTGCTGAGCTCCCAAGTCCAAATGAACAGCTTCTAATTTTCTCTTCAATCCCGATTCAAGAGCACTGAGTGGAGGAGAGTGATGGATTTGCTTATTTTATACTGAGAGGAAATGCAACCCCTAAGTAGAGATCTAAGTGGAACTGCTCTTTAGAACACATTAGACTGCTAATTTAAGAAAATTGAAAGGTTTTGTTTTACTGTCTTTTATGTGTTCTATCTGCTACCCCCTCAATTTAATTTGCATTTAAAATTATTCTCATGTCTCCTCGGCTCTCCAAGGTGTGGAGTACTTTCTAATCACGATGGGCTCGAATAGGATTTGGTGCATTACTTTTATTCCGAGCTGCAAAAACAAGGTGGGTAATTATAACTGCAAACTGTTTTCTGGAATGAAATGCAGAGTGCAAGTTTTGATCTCATCCTCTTCCTCTTCTTGAGCCTTTCTTCCTCTTCCTGTCTCTGGTTGCTTGGTCAGATATCCAGCTCAAATCATGCCACCCTGCCTAAATGCATTGCTTCCTACCTGAAAGCAACAAAATCATCCCAACCACAAACATTTGCTGAGGTGCTTTGTTGTTGTTAAGTGCTGTGAGTCAGTTCCTACTCATAGCACCCCTATATAGGGTTTCCGAGGAGTGACTGATGGACTTGAACCACCGATCTTGCGGTCCAGGGCTTACCCTGCAGTGCCACACCAGGACTAAGGCTATTCTAGTTTCCTGTGTTGTTATTATAGACCTCATGTACTCCCCAGCCCTGCCCCATCCCCACCTTTAGGTTGCAGATTAGACCCTACTAGGCTTTCCTTGGTTGATTTTTGGGAGTCTGATCATCATATCTTTCTTCCTAATCCAGCTTAGTTGGGAAGTTTTGCTGATACCTGTTCAGCATCAAAGCAACACACAAGCCTCTGCCGACAGGTGGGTGGTGACTCTTTTTGGGTTGCATTGGCTGGGAATTGATCTCTAATCAACATGGAATGTGAGAGTGACCACCGACCACCATACTTCTCATCAAATCTCAGTAAGGACTTTTAGGCACAGTATTTTGAAATCTGTTCACAAAGGACATGATGACATTTAAAGACATTATGGAATTCCACAACCCTGTCATGTTGTGTCTTTTGTTTACTAAGTATGATTGGTAATAAACATGGTTTTGGTGTAGGAGATGTTGGGTTGTTAAAAGAAGAGAAGCTTCCTTTGGGAAACCTTGGAAGGAAGGCTGTTAAAACTAGAAGACTTTAGTCCTCCTTCACCCACACAGCCCTGCTGGTGGCCCTTGTGAACAAACTTAAAAATCTGCTGTTTGTATTTTAGGTTGTCCCAACAAATCAGAACATATCAGGCACTATGATGGTGTTGTGGGGATTTAAGTCCAGATAAAAGAGAATCCAAAAAGCTACCAACCATATGTTCTTGTGGTTAAAGCCAACTCTAAACTCTGAATACTCAAAGCATTGCCCAGACCCCAGAACTTCCTACTCAGAAGCTACATTTCTATTCAGCCTCCAACCAAGACACACTGAACAGTTGACCTTTACAGGAGGAGAACTCTGTCTTTAGCTTATAGTAAGGTGTGGGTGGTAGGTTCTGAACTTTCTACTGTAATTCTCTTGAAATCTTAACTCATAGGTGAGAGCAAGAGAGAGCATGTGCCAAACCTGAAGGTAAGCACAGAGCACTGAAGGGGGAGATTCTAACTTGGAAATGTGAAGCTCACAGGTGATCCCTGGGGAAGTCTAGAAATTGATCATTTCTAGAGAGTGGGCCAAGAAAGGGAAAATCACAAGAGTCTCACCAAGTGAACATATAATGTGAAAGGGTCTTGATTTCTGAAAACCTAGAAGGAGAACATTTCAACTTAGAGAAGAATGTTTGGGAAGGGGATGATTATTCACTTGCAAAAAGCTACTTCTTTTATTAAACAATTGGTCACTGGGTTCTTAATGGAGGTCCTGGGTGGCACAAATGATTAAACACTTGACTACTAACTGACTACTAGCTGTGAGCTAATGTGTCAGACTGCAAAGTCATTTGAACTGCAAGGTTGGTGGTTCAAGCTCACCAGCTGCTCCTTGGAAAGAAACCCTATACAGGGTTGCTATGGGTCAGAATTGACTGGATGGCACTTAACAACAACAACTAACTGAAAGTTTGGAGGTTTGAACTCACCCAGAGGTGCTTTTGAAGAAAGGCCTGGCTGTCTAATTCTGAAAGGTCATAGTTTTGAAAACCCGATGGAGCACAGCTCTACTCCGACACATATGAAGTCACCATGTGTCAGAATCTACTCAAATGTTTCATTTCAGAGGGTTGATCTTAACATGATATGGCTAGCTTCTGAAACAGATTTTCAAAAGATTACTTTGCTCTCTGAGAAATATATGTACAGTTTATATTTAGGAATACTAACATGAATAAATTATTTTTTAAAGTAGGGTAGTGTTCAAAAGCCAATGTCAAAATCTAATCAGCTTAGCTCTGCTTTAAAACTTTAATCTGTTCAAAAGCAGCATGAGCCAGTGTTCATTGTTCTGAGATACAATAGAACCAGATGTAGAAGGCAAAGTTAGACCAAGTATTCTGAATACTTTTGCAACAAAAACCTCCTCAAGACATCTGTAAAGAGTAAGCTCTATAAAGAGTAATTCAATGTTAAGTACAGTGCTAATGTACTTCAATGACCTAGAAACAAACCACTGGTAAAAATTGCAGAGGAAAATTATATCTTTTACATGACAAACACTACAAATAAAAATTTAGATCTGTGAGGCTAAAAGAAATAATTGATACTTACTAGAAAATCCATGAGATGGCAGAGGTGTGGATATTTCTGTTTTTTCATTTTGGTGCTAAGAGGATGTATACTCTACATAAAAAGAGAAGAAGTATTTGATTAATTGAGAATGGAGGCATTATTTCAAGATGGAATTTAGAAATACATCCAGATACCAGCTCATGTTAATTTATGTTTGTGTTGTATTTATTTACTCCATTGAATGGCAGAAAACACAAATGTTCTGAGAGAAAAGATCACATGATTTTAAGTAGTTGAGTTGCCTGTGTTCACTCCATCAAGTTGGCTTTTATTGGAATCAGTCTTGATTTATTCTGCTTGCTAAGATATTAAAAAGAGCCATCTTAGAATACTGCTTAGTCTCCTTATTATGACCAGAGATTTCTAGAAAATCATGTTTTCTATTTGTATTGGACTTTATGAAGTTTTGCCTTCTACCTGCAAAAAAAATCTTGTGATAGTTTCTCTGCTTCCTCAAACAGCTAATTTTGTTTAACCTAAGAAACCCACCTAACTTTCAAATATTAGAAGCACTCTTGAAGTGCTGACATTTTGAATTCCTTGGTGTGGTTCTTAAATTGAAGTTCTTTGGTTAAGTGCAAGCATGCTAAACACATATAAAGCAAAGCGAAACAAAACCTGTTGCTATTAAGTCAATTCGGACTCATAATGACCCTATAGGATAGAGTAGAACTACCCCAAGGTGTTTCCAAAGCCATAATCTTTACAGAAGCCGACTGCCACATCTGTCTCTTATGGAGTTGCTGGTGGGTTTGAACTGCTGACCTTTCAGCAGCCTAGTGCTTACCTACCTGTGCCACCAGGGACCTTTAAAGATGTATAGAAATTGACTCCAGAATAGGTATGTTTCAAGAGCTATAGTTAATTCATTTCTTCTTGGCAAGTCATTCTCTTATCTCCCAATCCCTCATTTAACATAAATCTTTCCTTCTTTTACTTTATTAAATTGTGTTATTATCTGGTTGTTGTTGTTGTTGTTAAGTGCCATCGAGTCGATTCCGACCCATAGCAACCTGTATAAGGTTTTGAGGAGCTGCTGGTGAGCTTGGACTGCCGACCTTGCAGTTCAAGTGGCTTTGCAGTACTGAAAATCTTCAATCTGATATGTTATTCATATTAAAATATTTCTGCAAGATAAAACCATTTTAGCCATCATCAAACACTTTTAGTCATTATTTTTAAAGTAAATTAATTTCCAATCTTAATATGTTGTTGGAGCTGAATATTCTGGTGTTAGAGAAGACTATTAAAAGTACCATGGACTGCCAGAAGAACAAACAAATCTGTGTCAGAGGAAGTATAGTCAGAATGCTCCTTAGAGTCAAGATGGCCAGACTTCTTCTCTCATACTTTGGACATCTTATTTGGAGTCCCTGAAAAAGACATCATGCTAGGTAAAGTGGAGGATCAGAGAAAGAGGAAGACACTTAACAAGATGGATTGACACAGTGGCAGCAGCAATGGACTTAAATTTAACAATGATTGTGAGGATGAGACAGGGCAGTGTTTCGTTCTATTGTGCACAGGGTGGCTATGAGTCAGAACCAATTTGATGGCACCTAACAACAGCAACAACAGATGTGGAAGGTTTTAATGACAACTGAGACACAAGGGTGGAATAAAAGATGTGTGAGAAACAGTGTCACAAGGAGGAGGAGCTTAATTCTATACTATGTCAGCCAAGAGTCATATTTTCAGTGGCTTCTTATATATAAGAATCCGGGTGTTCAACTGGTAGAAAAAAAGCATGAAAATTGTAACGTTTTTCATTTGTACCACCGCTTGAAGCTGCCTTACATATTCAGAGGCAAATACTCAATGGCTGTTCAAGAACATTATGCCAAAGGAGTTTCTCCTTGGCCCATCCTCATTAGAAAATCTCTTCCAAGCAAAACTACACAGGCTTTTGCTCTTGGAAGTGCAGTGGAGAGAGCCACACTGGAGAAGGAAAACATTTGTCAATATGGCAGAAGTCAGAACCAAGCAGAGTGAAGCCTATAGGTCTTCTATATGCCCATGTCTATATATTCATTTTCCTTTTGATGCTTTATAGAAGGGTCTGTTCAGAGAGTGAAGAATAAGAGTTCAGAATAGTATCTTACCCTTCTGTCAGTTGTTGTTGTTATGTGCCGTTGGATTGGTTTCAACTCATTGTGACCCTATGCACAACAGAATGAAACACTGCCTGGTCTTGTGCCATCCTCACAATG